ATCGTCATACGTGTTATGGGCAGTGCAAGTAGGCGTCGCTGTTTTGTTGTCCGAACATGTGGTCCTCCGGACATAATATTTTTTCATTTTGTAGAATATCATGTACGAGATTTGGTCGTGGATTTAACTTAAATCCCAACGTTCCGTTAAATCAGAATTTTTTTTGTGTTATGTGGATATTAATCGCAATGTTTTGTAGAATACCATGTACGAGATTTGGTCATGGATTTAACTTAAATCCCAACGTTCCGTTAAATCCGAATTTTTTTTGTGTTATGTGGATATTAATCGCAATATAAATCTGGATTTATTAAATTCATCTAAGAAGTATATTTATGGGCGTCGTTCGTCTTCGATCACGTCGCTAGTCGATGATCATCGTTGCTTATTGTTGAGAATTTAAGACGTTGAAAAATATGAATCGACACAAATTCAGAAGAACACATAGAGATTTAACGAGGTTTGAGAAAGATGACTACGCCTTCGGAAGCGGAGCGACAATTTTTCTTTCAATTCCAGAAAAGAATACAATTTACAAAATAAGACATAAAGTTACATACAAATCTATTTATAATTCTAGAAAACTTTATAGTACAATATCTAATATATAATTACCAAATTACTCCTATACTGCACTCATAACCCACATAAGGAAACTCCCCCGACATCTGTCCCTTATATGATATACGAGTCATACCATAAAATATGTTACATTTGATAAATCTAGATTTGACACGATTTGATAAATCATATTTAAGTTTGATTTTGACCCAGATTTGTTTATGTTATGTTTTTTAATAGAATTTCAGAAAAAAAAGTAATTACAAATTCAAAGTTTTTTTTTTTTTTGTAATTTGCTTGAAAAAAATTAAGATTTTGTTTACTTTATTTGACATTTTTTCTTTTTTTGGGGGCTAAAAATAAAAAAATAATGATGGAGAGAAGCCATGGGATACGTACTCTTCAAATATATCTATTGATTTAACAAAGCATCACGTGCCTGTCACGTGGATGGACAAACTAGCGCTGTGGACGGTGAAGACACTCCGTTGGCCCACCGATATCTTCTTTCAGGTTTTACTTTTATCTCAAGCTTTAATTTACTAATTACAAATTTACCATAATTGATACATATGTTAATTTATGCTTTAGGGAAGATTAGGGATAATTAAATGGAGTTTAGGGTCCATTTGTGCAGCTTATTCGGTGCGGTGACGTTTTGAAAACGCACATGATCTGTTTGGGTAAATTACGTTTTGGCAGCTGATGCGTTTTCAAAATACTGAAAACATCATTTTTCACACTGCACCTATCTAGATGCAGTGGTAGCATTCTGACAGCAGTCTGATTTTTCAAAAAAAAAAAAAAATTTGTAGTAGTCATCGCACCTAGCTTATTAGCAGCTTATTTGATAAGTTGCAGCTGCCCCAAACATATTTATATTTATATTCTTTTATTCTTTAGTTTTATTTCATATGTTTCATCTTGATTTAAATTAAAATATATTTGATAAAAATAATTATTTTTAAAAATATTAAAAATATTTTTTAAATATTTTGTGTTTTTATAATGGAAATTTAACTTTTAGTGATACATTAATACTTTTTATCTAATGCATGCATGTGCATGGCTGCAGCGACGTTATGGATGCCGGGCAATGATGCTGGAGACTGTAGCAGCGGTGCCGGGAATGGTCGGCGGCTTGCTCCTCCACCTCCACTCGCTCCGCCGCTTCCAGCACAGCTGCGGCCTGTTCACTACCCTCCACGAGCAGAGCCCTCCTCGAGGAGGCCGAGAACGAGAGAATGCACCTCATGACCTTCATGGAGGTCTCGCAGCCTCGCTGGTACGAGCGAGCCCTCGTCATCGCCGTCCAGGGCGTCTTCTTCAATGCGTACTTCCTCGGCTATCTCATCTCCCCCAAGTTCGCCCACCGTGTCGTCGGCTATCTCGAAGAGGAAGCCATCCACTCCTACACCGAGTTCCTCAAAGAGATCGATGAGGGCAACATCGATAACGTCCCAGCCCCGGCCATCGCTGTCGACTATTGGCGTCTCCACCCGGGCGCCACCCTCCGTGATGTCGTCATGGTCGTCCGCGCTGATGAGGCCCACCACCGCGACGTCAACCACTATGCATCGGTATGTATTGGAGAAACGCGTTTGAACAATGGCTTGGATGTGGTTACACCGTCATGAATCGCACGATGGTGCATCCAAACCGTCGTTTGGTTGCACAGCATGGCGCGATCCACGGCATTGTCCTCATGTTCAGATACCTGGACGTAATATTTTCTCGTGTCATTTCGTCGAGCGGGTTTTGACTGAATCTTTGGTTCATTTCTTGAAGGATATTCATGTGCAAGGACTCAAGTTGAAGGAGCTGGCGGCGCCGGTGGGCTATCACTGATGATCTTCTGAGTAATAATTACTTCACTTTGGGAAGAGAAGCACCATGGAATTAATTTAATTAATCTTTTGTTCTGTTCATATGATTGCGATATGTTTAGCTATGCTGTTTTATGATTGAAGAACTTTGAATTAATTATACTCTTACAATGTTAGGCCTTGAGGTATGGCTCAATCCTAGTGTTGAATCAAGTTCAGATTTTGAGTGGGTTTGGTGTGGTGTCGCATCACATTTTGTGGTGTTGGAATAAAAGAAAAATTGTATTGGCCGTCGCAGTTTTTTGAACAATAGTTTCTTCTGTAATTGTTTTACGATTGATTATTCAAATAGCTGTTGTAGCTGCCCCAAATAGATGCTTCATCTATTAAAATTTAGTATGTTGAGTTCATTATTTAAATAAATTAGAAAACCTACATGAATGTGATGAGATAAACTAAATAGACAAACTATCAGAACAATAATGGAAAGATTCTATCGAGATTAAGGCTCCGTTTGAAGTGCTTTTTTCGTTCGGCGAAGCTCATTCAAGAGTTTTGTTGTGGAACGTGATGAGGACAGGAGCAATTGGGAACTGCAAAATTTTCGCGTTCGATTACTTCGACGTCAGGAGACGTCTGGTTGCCACAAGTTGTCTTCTCCGTCGGCGGCGTTGACCACGTTAGAAGGCAAATGAAACTTTACAACACTAAACTAAACATTTTTCTTAAACTCAATAATCACCATATCAATGAAGTCAAAAAGCCAAATTCCATATCATGACACCAAGTATCTATATATTGCTCACCTAATCTTCTAATTGCGATCATGATACCATGCCAACTCTTTGAGTAGTTAGGCTATATTAGAATGAAAGATATTTCGTGACTCTTATAAGGTCTTGAATGAAGAAAATTAATTGGATTTGAGACGAATACATGTATAAATGGAACATGAAAAGGTTTACTAAAATAAGTATGATGACAAGTGACATGCAATGTGTTATATTTATGATATAATGGGCAAAGTCAATAAGACAATCAGTGGTGCATTTAGAGAAGATGAAAAGAAGTATGATAAGGTATTTTATTATTGCTAATGTACAAAGGTGCCAACTCCAATAGCCATTACATTAAGTTGGATAATTTCTTAATCCATAAAATTTTTTTATAAGAATAAATGTAAGTTACAATCATGTATGCAATTATCACCAGGTTATTAGAAGATCTAAATGAAGAAATGATAATAGATTGAGAACTTTCTATTTAAAATCATCTTAATGGTTTTTTTTAGTAATTTAGTACATCATCAACAATAAAGATAAATAAAGCTCCATGTATATGATTTGGCTTAAAACCGTGACCTAAATCTTATAGCTTAAAAACTAAAAAATCAAAAAAATCAAAAAAAATCTAAACTTTAAACCATAAACCTTAACCATACAACCTAAAACATAAACCCTCAAGCCAACACACTTAGCCCTAAGCCATAAATCATAAATCCTAGAACAGCTGCCCAAAGTTTTAAATCTAAAATCCTAAAACCCTAAAGCCTAAAACCTCGAAAACTAAACCTTATGCCCTAAAACCTAAATCATATAAACCTAAAAACCTAAAATTTTCACTCTATACCCTAAACCATAAAAGTCTAAACTATAATATTTAAATTTTTTATTTCATTTTTAATCTTTAAGATGACACTATAATTATAATAGCAGAGTGGGGACTGGGGAGAGATATATGATGTATGAACCTTAAATTTATAAAAATTTGCTATAAAAAACATTATGATTGACTTGTAGTGTTGTTTTGAGAGAAATTGAGGTATCTTCAAACAAATAAGCAATTGATAAAATTTAAACATACTGAATGATTTATATACTTTATGAATTCCTTTTATTATTATTTTTTATATCTCATACGAAAAAGTGAAATAAGCTAAATCGAAAGTGCTTAAATGATTTATTATTCATCAAATACAAATAAGCTTTAAAAAGAAGATTCAAGTTGATATATATTATTGATTCAATCATTTTAGATTTAATTGACAAAAGTTGTGACTGATTGGATAAATGGAGGATGATGGTGAGCAACAGTTTGGTGATGAAGATTTTACTTGGATAAAAATTGAGGAGGCTTTAGAAGAAATTGATCGGAAATGTTCTATAGTATTTAGCCGTGCAAAAAAAAAGGGGAGATTCATCTACATTGATGATGAGCTCATTATAAGCTTCTTGTTTGCTATAAAGAGAATATAAAATTTATTCACAAGAAGAAGATGAAAAAGAAGAGAAGGAAGGAGAAAATTTTGAAGATGATAAAATACTACATGAAGGAGAAAGTGATGTTTTGTGATGCTTTAAATTATACTTTTTTGGCATAAATTGGTTAATCATGAATTTGTTGACACACTATTGTTGTCTTTTATTATTATTATTATAGCTTATCAATATGAAAAGAAATTAACATTATAACTTCATCCACACATCATTTTATGCTAATTCATAATAAGAAACAATCATGAAGTAGAATAATATTTTGTATACATTAAATTTGTACGATATTTTGTAGCAAAATAAAATACTAAACTATGGTGTCATGATTATGAAATAAGTAAATAAAATTTTTGAGCAAAATGAAAAAAAGACTGTATGTCACTAAAAATAAGAAATCACAATTGATTAATATAAGAATTATGTCATGATTATGAAATAAATAAATAAAATTTTTGAGCAAAATGAAAAAAAGACTGAAAATTGCACATAAGAAGAAAATAAACATTGTAAACTATGGTGTAGGTTTCTTGTTTAATTATACTTTAAAATATATGATGAGCTAACTCCGAAATTACGCTCTCTTTCTTCCCCTTCTTCCAAACTATCTTCTTTCTCCTAAACTTTCCATAACTTCCATAACTAGCCAAAATGTTTTGAATGAAGAATTTTTAAATTTGGAATGGTCAAGTAAAAGTTGAAGTTATTTTTGGGGTTATTTACTAACATATACCTTCACATTTTTTTTTTAAATAATTAAATGTTTAAGTTTTTAATGCCATTTAAAATCATGATACTATAATTACAAAATTTGATATCTATTATGTTAAGATAAATAGATGGAGAAGAATAGTGAAGTCTTTTGACAAGGGTGATTTTATGTATTATTACAAGATAAATCAAGACTAATTTTGAAAAACAATTCATAAACCCTTTGTAAGAAAATTTTATAAAATAACAAAAAATCATGTAATAATAATTAGATATCATGATATGGTTAATTTCGTTGGGCAATCGAATAACAAAAAATATTTTGGACATAAACTTAAAATAAATAACATAAATCATATTAATTTTTAATTATTTTTTTATAATTAATATAAACATTAAATTAATATTATGGTACATTACTCATACTTAACACTATCTAAATGACCATAAAATATTGCTTACTTGTTGGATATTATAAGTTCCCACAGTTATCTTTATGTTCACATCACCATGATTTTTTTTGCCATCAACAATTTCAAGGTTAGTCCAGTAAGATATAAATACATAAATTATTGTCATTGATAAATTATAAAAAAATCTATCAAATTAAGAAAGAATCTTGGTACTTTTCAAGTTATAAGCTTCTATAAAGTAAATTTAAGATTATTTAATCTTTAATTTGAGCTTAACAAATTTATAATCAAACTAAATGTGTCCACCAGTGAACCCAATAACACCAAAAGATATTAAATCTAATTCAAATAATTTTAAATTAAGTAACATAAGTGTGGTTGAAACTTTAAAATATTAATTGATGAGTCAAATCATCTATGAAGCTTGCATGTTTAAATCAAGTATCTCAATGAGAGAAGTTCAAAGACTCTAAAACCACTAAATTTTAAGTTCATTACAACAACAACAACAACAACAACAACAACAACAAAGCCTAAATCTCACTACGTGGGATCGGTTACATGAATCCTTTTTCTCCATTGTGTCCTATTTATTGTCATATTTTCATTTAGTTCTAATAAATTAAGACCATTTTTATACAATAAGACAAAGTCTTCCTAGGTCTACCCTGCCTTTCTTAACACAAGTCGAATCTAAAACATCTACTCTCATAATTGGATCATCAGATGGTCGACCCTTAATGTGAACAAACCATCTAAGACGTCTTTCTCTAATTTTGTCCGTCACAGGAGCCACACCAACCCTATCACGGATATATTCATTTTGCATTTTGTCTCTAAGTGTAAAACCACTCATCCACCTAATCATTCTCATCTCGGCAACACTTAACTTAGTATTATGCTTCTCTTTTAAAGGCCAACATTCAATGCCATAGAGCATTGTGGGTATCACCATCGTCTTATAAAATTTTCCTTTCAGTCTAAGCGATACTTTTCTATCACACAAAAGGCCCAAAGCATTCCTCCACTTCAACCAACCAACTTGAATTTTACTATTAACATCCCCATCTATATCACCATTGCTTTGAACAACATACCTGAGATATCTAAATCGTTCACACCTTTTAATAATTTGAACACCCAAAGCTATACTTCTGTCACTAGAACTACTACTACTAAAATTACACTCCATGTATTCAGTTTTAGTTCTACTCAAATGAAGGCTTTTAGACTCCAATGTAGACCTCCATAATTCAAGTTTTTCCTGGGCTTTTTCTCTCGTCTTATCCACCAGAAGGATATCATCAGCAAAAAACATAGACCAAGGTACATCCTCCTGTAAATGTCCAGTAAGACCATCCATAACTAAAGAAAAAAAAAAAGGGCTTAAAGCCAATCCATGATGTAATCCAATAGAAATAGGAAAATATTTGGTTAATCCTCCTTAAGTTTGAACACAATTAACAACTCTGGTATACATATCTTTAATGACTTGAATATAAATCATATCAACACCTTTCTTTTCAAGAACACTCCAAAGGATTTCTCTTGGAACCTTATCGCAAGCTTTTTCTAAATCAATGAAAATCAAATGAAGATTCTCCTTATTATCTCTAAACTTCTCCATCAACCTTCTCAATAAGTGTATAGCTTCCATAGTAGACCTGCCCGACATAAATCCAACTTGATTATGAGAAATCTTTGTAATACGTCTTAACCTATGTTCAATTATCCTCTCCCATAATTTTAAAGTATGACACATCAACTTAATTCTTTTATAATTTACACACTCTTGTACATCCCCTTTATTCTTAAAAATGGGGACCAAAATACTCTTCCTCCACTCCTCAAACATCTTTTTAGTTTTTAAATTAATACTAAAGATTTTAATAAGCCAAGAAACTCCCAAATCTCCTAAACATTTCCATACTTCAATTGGGATATCACCAGGTCCTACTTTCTACCCTTGGTTTTCTTTAAAGCCTCCTCAACTTTCTATTTTACTAATACGACGATAAAAATGAAATATTTTATTATTAGTAACCATATTAAAATCACTACGGTCGATCGCATTTTCAGGAACTTCATTAAAAAGTTTAATTAAAATAACTCAACCACCTCTGTTGAATATCTTTTCTAAGAAAAACACTTTTTGATTTTCATCTTTAATATAATTCACTTGGTTAAATCCTTACTTTTCTTTTATCTTTATTTGACTACTTTATACACTTTTTGATTTTCATCTTTAAGACATTTTACTAAATTTTAAGTTCATTAAGACACTTAAATTCTAAAGGAATTGCTTATGATCAAACAAAAAAAAATACATCATTTGAAAAAATATTTAAATAAATATAAATAGATTCCCGATCTCCACGTGAAAGGAGAATGGAGATTTGAAATTGGAGAGAGCTTAAAGATCTAAAATACTATGAAGCTCTGCCTGATAATTGACGCCTTTGGCCCTATTGTCACCCCATCACCATCATTTGGTTAATATCACTTGATAGTGTATCTTGATTGCAATTACTTGATCTTTGTCTCTCGATCGATATTACCCAACCATCATCTTTCAATTATCATATATTGACCACTATCACTTAATCATTATCATTACACTTCATCAATTTCTTAATCCCTACCACAATCATAAGCAAGTAGGTAAATATTCCCAACTTAGTAATCCTATCTTCTCTAATATTTTAGAAGTGTGAATTTTCAATATTTCATGTGAATAGTGTATTATTTTAACCGGAAAATGTCTAAAGGTTTCTTCCTTCAAGATTTTTGTGCACGAAACTTTTGGTGTTATTTGTGCTCCTCTTTTTATCTATTTATATGTGGAATCTCCATGAAAAATTATTAAAGTTCTAGTGTATATATATATATATATATATATATATATGCATGTAATAGTTTGATATTTTCCATAACTACTCACTTGCAACATCTTTAAACACTCTCTAATGGCTAGCAATTATTCATTCAACTAAGAATATTTTGATATAGCTAATGAAGTCCACTTTGACCTAGCTTAATAGAATCTCATCTTCATAAGATGGAGTAGTAATAAGCTTAAACTTTTTCTCTCTTAAAGAGTCTATCCTATAAATAATACCATTATACATGATTAATTCAACTATTATAAAATTAATAATAGGCTAGGATGGATCAATTTAAGGACTCCTACGTAAGGTCTCCACTTAGTCTTGCTGAAGTTTTTGTTCTATCATGACCTCACTAGAATCTCCTTAATACTCTAAATTTAACTTATCATTTTCATAAGTAGACTAACTTGTAATCTCCCAACAATATTGATGAACTCGCCTCAACCACATCTTAGTCATACCTCTCATGAGGCCATACGAGAAAAAAAATGAATCACTCATTCAAAAGGAATTGTCATTTGAGGGATACAAATCAACTTACTCATCACCATAATGTTTATGAATATTTCCTTTAATTGATACTATTCTTCAATACCCTATTCTAATGCGATTAAATTAATGTGCTATAAATTTTTATAAAGTGATCCTCTGATCCTTATAAATATATTGATCATTATAGGATCACCATATATATTCAAAAAGCCTCTAATACACTCTCCTGCTAGGTCTTTGAGGCCACACTAAAAGCTATATATAGTTCTATCCACTCTCCAATGAGATAATTCACAATTTTACTAATCTTGCTTGTCTTTCCATCAAATACTATATTATAAATTAGATGATTATTTAATATTTTTCTTATATTTCTAAGATTTACTAGAATGAGAAAAAAAACTTTTGAGCAACGATGTCAAAGATACTCTTTAAAGACTCATTAAATATCAAAATTAGATCCCAAGTAACTACATGATATTTTTCTTAAAACTATGTATTCTATATCTTTCTACTCTTCATTGATACAAGAGAAAGATTATTCACGTTGTTGACTGTATCCATCGAGTAAAAGCACAAATGACTAATAACAAGACCATCAGAACTTATATTGAATCTTTTTAAATAGTGCACAAAGAAAAAAAGGAATTCATCACAAAAGATTGAACCATACCGATTCGACTAAGGAATAGTGATGAGATCGAAGAAACCCTTCACCAATTTTGCATGAATCATCTAATTATCTCTCTTTAAACACATCAAAGCTAATCTTTTAATGGAAATAAAAAATTCTATGTGAAAGCTAATTCCAATAGAATAAATTTTCATTGATCAAGAGTATATTCAATATAAATTTGTAATTATTTGAAGGAAAAGATTGAGGGTTTTTGATATGTGAGAATTACATGATTATTATTTATAGGAGCAATATACACATAAATAGTCTTAAGATATGAACATATATTAGTAATAATAAAAAAAATTATGATTATTTGTATTACATATGAATACCACCACAACTTATTTATCCTTGCCATCAACACCTCTAAAACTTTGGTTACAACTAGTTTGTTGGATCTCAAGTTCTTAAATACCTTCACAAATCTTAAATTAAACCCATTTCAAATTACATTCTCATGCCATTGAAGATTTTAGAAGATATAACATAAAAGATTTTGCACAATCATTTACTTTTAAAATTTGGATAGGCCTTCTAAACAAGCTAAGCAATTTTCTGAATTCTTAATTCAAGCTTATTTAATCATTTGGGTTAGGCCGGTCTGACCCAATGATTAAAGGGTTTCATTGGACTTACAATTAAGTGTAATCAAAATTTAATTTGATGCTAAGACCAATTGGATTTATGTCCAATTCAATCATCAATTCAAATTTATAATGACTAAGTTTACTTGGCATAACAATGTGAGCAAGTTCACTTGTGTTTCTGACTCCTTGCTTTCTTAGGCTGATGGTTTGTTCTAGGTCATCAGATTGAAATCTCACCTGATCAAATGAAGATATAACAAAATAAATAAATAGCAGTGCGTTCAAATGCGTAGCACATTAGTTAGAAATAGAACGAAGAATCTCATGGTGCCGAGTGCAATTGCTCGCCTTGTAGTAAATAGAAATAAAATTAAGCAACATGGGAGAGACCCATCATTTTGAACAGTGCAACATTTACAGCCCCTGGATTTCTCTTTATATCACCTCAAATATTATTTATACACAACCAAAACTTTCTTAAATTGCAACTCATGAGAAAAATTGCAGCACCAAAAGACCTAAGACTGCATGATCATTTGAGGATCCAAGTCAGTGCTGCCCATATTCCCAGTAAAGTAATCCTGATTCCCTTTCAAATTCAAATCTAATAAAAGAGACTCACCTCTATGCGAAGAAAACCTCAGATTCTGAGTCTCCTCTCCTTCCTGATAAAGCCGAAAGGCCGAATTTGTCGGAGAGCTGTTAAGGCTGAAACTGGCAGCCACTTTGTCCAGTTCTGCAGCACCCTTAACAACACAGAACTGGTTAACATTGTCCATTAAACCTGAGAGAGCTTGGTTGAAGTCTTTGAGCTGAGCTCTGGCTGCTTCCATGTTGTTATTGTTGTTGTTGTTGTTGAAGGAGAGGGACTTCTGAGCCTTCTCTAATATAGCTTGCAAGTACTTCCCTTGAGCTTCAATTCTTGACTGGAGCTTCTTTTGAACCTGAGCATTTATAATTAGTCGTGCTGATATACGTCGAGGGTTATGAACGAGATGGAAATGATGAAGGTGAAGAGAGATGTGTGGCAGACCTCGAGTTGTTCATGGAGTTTCCTTTGCACCTCGATTTGGTATCTTAGTTCCTCGGTTAGCTGAATTTCTCTGAGAGAAAAACACAACTCATCATTAGATTAATTTCCTAAAACCATAAATATGGAAATTTACGCACAAAACATACAATTCTTATGCATTCACTTATCTAAAACCCAAAGTTTGATGTTTACACTTTTAGCATCTTGGTGTCGTAAAGCTAAGCATGAAAAGGTGTTTTTCACTTTAAAAATAATAGTGATGGTGGTATTTTGGAAGTGATGTTAATGATTTGAGTGTTATGCATGTAAATATATATGTTTAGGTATTGGATTTTGTAAATATAAAAGAATTGAGTGGTATGTATGTAGATACCCTTATAATTTTATCAAAACAAAAAACAGAATGGCAACTAAAAGATAACAATAGAGAAGACCATGATGCTTTCTACGCGTGGAAATTCTGATAGAAAACTATAAAAAGTGGCGACAAAAAGCATCCGGCAAGATCTCCGGTTATGACAAATTCTCCAAACAACATGCCAAATGTACATCACTACACTTAGTTTAAGAGAATAATTATAAAAAATAAAAAAGAGACCAAGGGTCTAGATGAAAATTTGGTAGCAAAAGATGTACCAAATATCTTTACTGAAAATTTCTTCCAATATGAAATCCTCTTGAACTAAAACTTTACTGACTAGAATCTATTGGATCAAATTTCTCTGCTCGTCTCATGGTACGCAATCTAACCACTAAGAAAGAAGATTTCTTTAGAAAATAAGTAAATTTACATACATACCACACAATTCTTATGCAAATACATATCTAACACCTAAAGTTTGATATTTACATTTATAACACTAATCAATGCATGAAAAGTTGTATTTCACTTTTAAAGAATTTAGTGATAGTGGTATTTTTTTATGTAATATCAAAGATTTGAGTGTTATGTATGTAAATATGAATGTAATATCAAAGATTTGAGTGTAATGTATGTAAATATGAAAGTTTAGGTGTTAGGTATGGCTCATATACCGGAAGTTGGAGTTTCTTGAAGTGAAGAGATGTGTTTCTTGGTGAAGAGTTGTGTCTCTTCATATTTTGTGAGTTGGGGGGAGCGAGGGCATGTTGGTAATTTATCTATGGGTTTTTTATATGACTTTTATATTTATATGTCTATATATATGTGTAACTCTTGGGTATGTAACTGAACTCGCATCTGAATAGTGAAATTCGCCGCTCGCTCCCGATGATGTAGGCATCTTTGCCGAACCTCGTTAAATCTCTGCGTTTTTCTTCTGGATTTGAGTCGATTCCTGTGATTGTTTTGCCCTAAATTTCATAACAATTGGTATCAAAGCGAGGTTTTGTTCTAGGGCAGAGGAGATCGACGCAGGAAGAACGAAGAAGAGCAGGAATTCAGAGAAAAAGAATTCTTGGTTTGGATTGCAGAGAGCGGATGAAGGCGCAGATTCGACGCTGGAAGGCTCGCAGCAGTTTGGCGCACATGTTTGGGACGCTGCGGCAAAAGCTGCAAAGACAGCGGCATGATGGCAGGAGGAGTTCCAGTTCTGCTGTTAAAGGGAGGGAATCAAAGGAATTTTTTGATTTCCTGTCGGCAGACGTGAGAACTATGGCGTTCTCGGAGAGAGACCGCGAGAGGAGTTCGCCCAGGCAGCCTTCTTCGGTGCAGAGGAACAGAGTAATTCGCGTGCGACAGTTCTCACGCCAAGGACACGACGGTTCGCGGGTTCCGCGACGAGGCCAGGCGAGTCGCCGCCGAGGGATGAATCGGAGGAGAAAGGCTCCGGAAGTTGCACTGAGAAGAAGAAGGATTCGCGACCATGATCTGTGCGGAGGGAGCAACCAGCAAGGAGGGATTGTTGCAAATAAATGTGAAAGATTTGTTGGCACAAGGAATAATTGTTGCAAATAAATATGAAAGATTTGTTGGCACAAGGAATTTTTTGAAGACATTGCGGACTACGAAACCTGATGGTAACATCTATCAACTGTTGGGGAGTACAGTGGTAGGTGGAGTGCACTCTGTCGGATTATATGATGAAAATTGCAGCATGTATGTTGACCAAGCCAGGTATTCTCAACAAGTTATTCTCAACAAGTCCTTGAAGTGCTTGAACTTGTTGAATGTTAGCAATTCCTAGTTGGCATGGTTGCTCAACCCACTACGGTGTACGAAACTCCATGATGTATTTTCTCCTAAGGGGCTGGATATTCGCCATGGTGGAGAATTGTTAGGTATGGCTCATATACCGGAAGTTGGAGTTTCTTGAAGTGAAGAGGTGTGGGTATGGCTCATATACCGGAAGTTAGAGTTTCTTGAAGTGAAGAGGTGCGTCTCTTGGTGAAGAGCTGTGTCTCTTCATATTTTGTGAGTTGGGGGGAGCGAGGGCATGTTGGTAATTTATCTATGGGTTTTTTATATGTCTATATATATGTGTAACTCTTGGGTATGTAACTGAACTCGCATCTGAATAGTGAAATTCGCCGCTCGCTCCCGAGGATGTAGGCATCTTTGCCGAACCTCGTTAAATCTCTGCGTTTTTCTTCTGGATTTGTGTCGATTCCTGTGATTGTTTTGCCCTAAATTTCATAACAAGGTGATAGATATGTAAATATATAAGAATTCTGAAGTATAGTACAGTTTCTATATAGTGTTAGTGCTTAAAGAAAGTAGTCATTCGAGGCAGCAGAGATATTACAACTCAACTCTAGAAAGCAGTGACTTTCCAACTCAACCAAATCCAGTTGGGTTATGAGAAGCAAAGCATTTCATGCGTAGACAAAAATGTGAAGTCCCAATTTTCTTACAAGTAACAAGGAATGTACTAAAACCATAATATTCGCATAAATCCTGGAAAATGCAGAGAGTTTGCTTCACATAAAAATCAAGAAAATAATCACTCATTATTATTGCCTGAAATGATTATCTAATTATGACAGGAAACTAGTCATTTGTCATTTTAGTCTGTAATTAACAAAGTATTGCAGATCTACCGCCTCAGGACATCCATCCATTTTCCAAAATCCAGATGGATAAATATTCATTTCTTAAATACATAAAAAATAAAAACATATTGCAATCTAGAACTGAAACATGAGCATATTTTGCGTGAAATATATATATAATGTTTATGTGTTACCCAGACCATAACTACGTTAATAAGACCAACAAGAAAATTACAATAAAATCCAAGCTTAAAAGTTACCTAAGCATGATAAAAACACAGAAAAACATACCCTCCGGTGTTCCCGATAGACATAATGCTACTTGCAGAAGAGTTGAAGCTTGCTTTACTTGGTTTACCTGTCATTAGAAAAGAGGAAAATCAATTCTTTTAAGGAAAGAAGCTTGTGGATAGTAATTACTATAAATTCATGTCAGAAAAGTGCAAAAATGGTTCCATGACTCTTTGTAAGGGTTCATTTTAATTCTAGAGCCTATAAAAATGTCAATTTAATTCCAAAAGTCTTTTAATGGGGCCTAAGATAGTTTCTCCCCGGCGGCTATTCAGTACATATTAAAAAATTTTAGGGACTAATTTGGTATTTTTATAGACACTGGGACTAAAATAATCCCATGTAAATAGTCAGAGGATTACTTTGACAGTTTACTCGATTCATAACTTGTAGACCAAATAGAACCAGGCATACTCTGGATTATTTTAAGAACTGAAATAGTTACCATCTTTGATACCATCAAGACCTGTTTCCTTGCGGGCTTGCCTTCCAAGTCTATATTTCTGCACAATAAATACAAAAAGGCACTTCCCGTCAGCAACAGAAATTGATGGAAACTGCAAAATTGTAAGTGGAAAACTAGCATTAAAAAAGGACAACAAAAGGTCAACATGGTGAAGAAGACAAACCTGCAGATGGCTCTTGAGATGATAAAGTGTCAATCCCCTCATGCCCATGACTCTCAACACCGACTTCGGTGTCGCTTCTGCAAATTACAATGCCGACGGAAATATTGATGATTAGGTTGCTTAAAATCTATCACTTCTCCAACATATTATAAACCGAAACATGGTAAATGAAATAAATGTTCCACATTTTTAAATTCAAGAAAGCGATTAAGGCAAGGGGTCCTCTCTGGTCTCATTTAGTAAGTAAAAGCTAGAAATCATGTTTTGAAAAATGATGAAATTTGTTAAATTTACCATCTTATTCTACGTGTAATTAAGCACTATTGAGATTTGTACCTAGTTTAGGGTCCTAATGTAAATAGGAAATATATAATAAGTCTAGGGATTTATTTGTAAGATATTGTAAGGCTCTATATAAGCCCGAGTCACTAATAATAGAAAATAATTTTAGAGCAATTATATATATACAATTATTTCGAGCCAAAAATGAGATGAACGTGAACGAACAAATTTTTGTTTGTGTTCAGCTCGTTTATATATCGAGCTCAAAAAGAATTATTCGTGTTCGGCTCGTTAACTTAGCGAACGAATCGAACAAGCGTTTCTTAATGAGCTGAACATGAATTGTTCTCGAACAATGAGACGTTTTGACATCCCTAGTAGCGTTTCTTAATGAGCTGAACATGAACTGTTCTCGAACAATGAGACGTTTTGACATCCCTAGTGCAGAGGCAAGAGAGCTAATTAATTGTGAGAGGTATTAGAGATTGATGGACCGTCTGATCTATCCGAGTCACTCGTCTCGACATCTCATTTGCAATGGGCATGGTGAGTCGCTACATGCATGATCCAAGGAAGAGTGAATGGACACAACATATAGGTTTCTGAGGAATCTGAATAGTGCACCAGGGAAGGGGTTGATCTTCAGAAAGAATGGACATGTGGGCATTAAGGGCTATTGTGAATTTGACCGGGAGAGCTGTGTTGATGACAGGACATTCTCATCAGAATATTGCATGTTCGTAGGGGGTAACTTGGTCTCTTGGAAGAGCAAGAAATAGTCAGTAGTAGCGAGGTCAACAACAGAGGCAGGGTACAGGGCTATGACCTTAGGAGTTGCCGAGATGATGTGGATGAGAACCTTACTGGTAGAGCTCAAGGTAGACTAAGGAACTCAAATGAAGTTGCGGTGCGACAACAAGTTAACAGTCAACATTGCCAACAACCCGGTGCAATACAATATAACCAAACATGTGGAGATTGATAGGTTCTTCATCAGTAAGAAATTGAATAACGAACTACTGAAGGTAAGTTATGTAGCTGCTGGAGAGCAAGTGGCTGACTGCCTCACCAAAGGACTTAGCTCGTTAGATTTGTCTAGGTTATGTGACAAGATGGGCTTAGTGGATATCTTTTAACCATCTTGAGGGGGGAGTGTTGAGATTTGTATCTAGTTTAGGATCTTATTGTAAATAGAAAACATAGAAGAAGTCTAAGGATTTATTTGTAAAATGTTGTAAGGCTTTATATAAGCCCGATTCAGTAATAATAGAAGATGACTTTTAGAGCAATTTTTTCTATTAGCACAAACATAAATTTCAAACTCCAAATACCTCGGTGGAATTCCTTTAAAACTGATGATCCCATTTCATTCCTAATATGAGTGAAAATGAAATCATTGTTTTCTAAAATATACTTATCATCTAAAAGTAACCAAATGAGTCATTTGTTTCTTTGATAAGCTAAAGGGGCATTTGGGATTACTTTTATTTTTTATTTTTATTTTGTTTTATTTATTTGATTTAAACAAAAACAAGAAATAAAAGTTATGTCAAATAGGCATTAACATTCTTCTTTTTTTTTCTTGGTTGAGTTGTATTGTTTCAGCCAAGATCTCTTCAAAGCTGTTGTGATGGAATAGAACCTAACGTTATACTGTTTCAGTCAAGCTCTCTTCAAAGCTTTTTGGGGATATAGAACCTTATGTGCCACTATATATTCAGGAAAAAATGTTCAAATATGTTTGGATATATATTGATTTTATTATAAATTGTAATTAAAGCAGCATTCTTTTTATCTTCTTAGTTCAATTATGTTTGGATATATATTGTTGTTAATGCTAAATAGGATTCTTTTTATCTCTTAGTTTCTTTGAACAGTCTAGAGACTGCTGCTTGGGTTATTTTTTAATTTTATTTTAATTTTTAAATTATTATTATTATTATTCTTTTTTGCAAATTATACTGTTTCTTTTCAATATCTCTTCAAAGCCTTTGTGCTGTGGCATAGAACCTTATCTAGATGTTGTACATTCAGGAAAAATATTCATATATATATTTGGATATATATTGTTATTAATTTATATTTTAAGCTAGACTAAGTTCAGCCGTCTTTTCTTCATCTAGTATGAAAAAAATATGATGTTTAAGGATATTTTTGCAGAAAAGACGGCTAGACTAAGTTCAGCCGTCTTTTCTTCATCAAGTATGAAAAAAATATGATGTTTAAGGATATTTTTGGCCATTGAATGTACAAGAATAGTGATTAGAAGCTTGAAAAAAAAAATCATACTATAGGGAAATGTTTGAAAGTTATTGTAAGTCTGACAATAACCGGTGCAATATTTCAATAATCATAATTGTTAAACAATAAACAAATTAGGAAAATTTAACACATGTTTGATAATATGTACACCTAATTTTTCAATAGCCAGATGCTAAAATATAATGAATGCATCAAGCTAGGAGATTGAAGGATTAAAAAATAAATATTTTTTTTTTCTGAAAACGGTTAATAGGTATTATTTGGAAAAGATAGGTTCATAAAACAAATGAAAGACAACCCGATGGCCTTGGAGTAATTTTTTTTATTTTAAAAAGTAAAAAACAGAAAATAAGCTAAAGTAAAGGAAAAAATAAACCAATATTATTAACATTCTAAGTTAAGGGTAGCCTGGTATTGGAACTGGATGAAATTGAAAGTTTAACAAGGTTTAATCAATCTAGGCAATGAGATGATAGAAATTTGATGTATTCATCTTATTTAAATAGTTAATTGAATAAAAAAATAATGAAATCTGAGACCTCCAATTTGTAAAGAGTAATACCACTAGGTTATATACTCAGTGGTAGAAATTTCTATATAAATTATGAAAGACATCGTGAAATTTTGCCAAATTTGATGGATATTGTAGATAGCAAATTCCCATGTTGGATTTGAAGTTATCCATGAAAACATACCAAGATTTTATTATAGAAATGAATCAAGCCCAAAGAGCGAGTAGAAAAGAAGAAAGCCAAGTTTCCATGAGTCACTTAAAGAATTGGAATATGAAAAATCCAATTAAAACCCTTTAAATAAAGAATGGCTAGACAAATTACAAATCAGTTAAATATTTTGAAAGAGAAATTTTAGTAAGATTTCATATTCTTACCTCATATCATATATTTTATGCATATGCTCCACCAATAATCCCCAGCTTCAGTGGTGGAACCAGAATTTAAAAAGAGTCATAGAACTAAAAATTAAAAGTAGGCTATTATTAAAGTTTAAAGCTGTCATCTTCTTAAATTTTTTTTAAAACTATTATAAATATTATTATTAAATTAAAAAATATAGTTAATAATAAATATAGTTAATATTAAAGTATTATTAAGTATTTAAATTTAGGGGGCAAAAATTTTAAGTGTATTTTTATAGCCTAAAAATAGGCCCTCGACGAGCAGAAGGAAAGCCGTTGTTGGAGCCATCACCAACACCTACAACAGTCACCCTGCCCTATCTCTCTCAATTCCCCTTAGAGCAAAGGCATAAATGTAATATCAATTTTCCTCACTCTTTCTCTATAAATAGAGGACCCTTTTACATGTAAAGGGTCCCCTTAAGCTCTCTCTTACCTCGACTATCGCTGACCCCTTCCAGTCGGTCGACCACTTCACTTTACTTCAGTCAGCCGTCCAAACCAAGGCGACTGGCCGCTAGGGCTGTCAATTTGGCTCGTTGTTCGTGAACCGCCAGGGCAGGGCAAATGAGGGACTCCCAGCTGGCCAGTAGGTTCGGCCGAATGAAGAACTGGCATACTACTTGGGTCGGCCACCATGGGCCGACTATAGTGAAGGAAAATAGCCAACCACCTTGGCCGGCCACCCCTAGATGGTCAGCCATTTAGATCCATCAACAAAAGTTACCTGGGCGACCACCTTACACCAAAAGACCTTTTAGGCAAGAAATTCCAAGAGTGCCGATCCAAGCAAGGGGAAGACTGATATATCTCTCTCAGTTCCCCTTAGAGCAAAGGCATAAATGTAATATCAATTTTCCTCACTCTTTCTCTATAAATAGAGGACCCTTTTACATGTAAAGGGTCCCCTTAAGCTCTCTCTTACCCTCATATAGGGAGATCTCTCACATTCTCTTTCCACTAGTAACCTTCAAGCTACATGGATTAAAAGGGGCTAAAGAGCCTGGAACACCCCTCTTTGCTCCCCACAAAGCAACTTCTCTCTCTCTCTCTCTCTCCTTCCATCGGAATCCGACTCTATTCCTCGGGCACAGTCCAAAGGACAGATTTGGGTTCAACAATATTAAAGAATATTAAAAATAATGACAACAACAACAACAGGCCTTTATCCCACTAAGTGGAGTCTGCAACATGAATCATTTTTATCTATCATGTTTTATAGTGTCATATTTTCATTTAATTATAATAAATTAATATCATTTTCTAGACAAAATGCCCAAGTCTTTTTAGGTGTAAGCCTAACTTTCTTAACATAAGTCAAATTTAAGGCATCTATTATACTAAACGGATTATCAGATGATAGATGTTTAATATGACCAAACCATATAAGACGACTCTCTCTAATCTTCTTTGCCACTAGAGCTACACCATCCCTTTCACGGATATATTCCTTTCACATTTTCTCTAAGTGTAAAACCACTCATACAACTAAGCATTCTCATCTCAACAACACTTAAATTAGTTTTATGCTTCTCTTTTATAGGCCAACAAGCTACACTATAAAGCATTGCAGGTCTCTCCATCTAAAAAAATATTCATTCAGTGAAAACTATACTT